TGAATATAAAGCAAGATTACTCACTTTGGAGACCCAGGACAAAAGAGGCTCTTTGCTGAGGAACAGGCTAAGGCACAACTGCACAGGAAAACGAAAGTAACCACAATTAAAAAAAGCTAAAGCATGGCACCTAAGCTCCAACCCATAGTAACCGGAAACAATGTTTAACTCTGTAATTACCAATTCCCTACAACTCCCAGAGACTGATGTCAAGAGGGATTGACTGCTAAACCACTCTGAGAATTGCAGCTCCGTGAGAAGAATATGGGCCTCCTAGCAACTCTCAGCACCCTTAACAAGCTTCAGCTCCCAGAATTCTTTGAAGGAAGAAGCCATGGCTGTTTTTAGTAGCTCAAAAGGCATAGCGCAAATGCAGAATTAAGTTTCTTTGCATTGTGAAAAGACAGACTTCCTTTTGGAAGCTTGTTTGTCGGAAGCAAACTAAGCAGGGCAGTTTTAAAATAATGACACCAATAGCAGTAGTTGTAGGGTTAGCCTCCCCCTGCCCACAGCCACAATCTGAACAAAAATCACACCATGCTGCTGTTCACCTAAGGAAAAAGCTCTTTTCTGACCCAAATGCGTGTTCTGTTAAATGGAATAACAGGAACATATCCTCAAAGGCATTGCATTTTTTTCCTATTAGGCCATGGGGGGAAATGGAACATTTTACAAACATCCAGCAGGGGTCACTATGGGCTTCTAGAGGTGGAGATACAACATTCCTTCAAATCCAGATGTTTATACATAACACATCTGGCAGGCCGCATTCTGGACCTTGTTTTCTCAACAAGGCAGGAAAAGGATGATCTGAAAGTGTGTGAGATATTGACATCGGTCACTTGTCATGGTCAGATCACTTCCTGCTGAGATTTAGGCTTTCAGCACTTTCCTTCCTCTACAGAGGTGAAGAACCAAGTGGGATGGTCCACCTTGATGGATCCAATGGGTTTTCAGATGACTCTGGGGTATTTTCTGGCTGATTTGACTGGCGTGATTTGACCCACTTCTGGAACATCCCAATGGCTTGGGCCGTTGACATGAGCGCCTCTGAGTGCCCTCTCCCACTTTGTGGAGCCCACGTCTTCTCAACCCTGGTATACTCCAGAGCTTAGGGCAAGGAAACAAGCTGGGAGACAGCTGGAACACAAGTGGAGGAAAAATCCAGTTGAATGCAATCAAACCCTGGAGAGGGCTCATCATCAAGTCTAACTTGTGGCAGTGAAGGCAGTAATGAAGGTACACAGTGGTACCTCAGTTTAAGAACAGCCCTGTTTACGAACTATTCAGTTTACGAAATCTGCAAAGCCAGAAATAGTGTCCCGGTTTGCGAACTTTACCTCGGTCTAAGAACTCTTGAGAGTCCCGTGGACTGCAAGAAGATCAAATGTATCCATTCTTAAGGAAATCAGCCCCGAGTGCTCACTGGAAGGACAGATCCTGAAGCTGAGGCTCCAATACTTTGGCCACTTCATGAGAAGAGAAGACTCCCTGGAAAAGACCCGGATGTTGGGAAGGATTGAGGGCACAAGGAGAAGGGGACGGCAGAGGACGAGATGGTTGGACAGTGTTCTTGAAGCATGAGTTTGACCAAACTGCAGGAGGCAGTGGAAGTTTGACCAAACTGCAGGAGGCAGTGGAAGACAGAAGTGCCTGGCGTGCTCTGGTCCATGGGGTCACAAAGAGTCGGACACGACTAAACGACTAAACAACAACAAGAACGGAAGTTGAATGGTGGAAAGGCACCAGTGGCGGGAGGCCTCATTAGGGAAAGCGTTCCTCAGTTTCAGTTTAAGAATGGACTTGCGGAACAGATTAAGTTCATAAACTAAGGTACCACTGTACTTTGCTGCCTCCATTGCATCCTCATTGTGCCAGAGCTTTTCTGGGTAGTGTGGGGCCTCTTACAGGCTGCCCCAAACAACCAACAGTAGCTGAGGACAAAATCACTTGCATCCCCTGGGATCTTGACTCCGCTATTACAGCAGATGACTCTCAAGGGGTGTTCAAAGCACTGTCTAGTCCTGGTGTGTTGGATGAGTTTTAGTTAGTAAGGCTTAAGGATGTGGACAAGCTGCTTGGACTGGTCAGGGCCACCACTTGTGCTCTGGACCCTTGGCCCTCTTGGCTGACAAAAACTAGTAGGGAGGGAACAGCTGGCTGGGCCAGGGAGGCGATTCATGCCTCCTTTTGAGAGCAGGTGATCCCTGCCTGCTTGAAGGAGGCCACACCATTCTTAATTCAGAAAATCTAAGTAACTACCAACCTGCTGCTAATCTCCCTTCCTCGGGCAAGGTTCTGGAGCAGGTGAATACAGACTAGATCCAGGCATTCTTGGAGGAAATGAATTTTCCAGAACCATTCCAATCCGGGTTTAGGTGTGGTTTTGGAACAGAAATTGCTTTGGTCACCTCTGTTGGGAGAGAGACAGGGGAAATGTGTCCCTGTTAATTCTCCTCGACCTCTCAGTGGCTTTCAATACCACTGGTCATGGTATCCTTCTGGAGCAGCTGTCCGAGTTAGGGGTAGGTGGCACCACATTGCAGTGGTTCTGGTCCTACTTGGACGGTCATTTCCAGAGGATGATGCTTGGGGAGTGCTCTTCAGCCCTGTGGAACCTTTAATGTGGAGTTCCTCGGGGTTCAATTTTATCCTCTGTGCCGTTTAACATCTACAGTACATGAAACTGCTTACTGGCGTTATCCAGAGTTTTGCAGTATGGCGTCAGCAATATGCTGATGACACACAGCTCTACTTCTCCTTTACAACTGCAGGTGCAGAAGTGGAAGCGCTGGACCAGCCTTGCCTTGGTAATGGGCTGGATGAGAGCTAACAAACTGAAATTCAATCCAGGTAATGCACTGTTAGTGAATGGTTCCCTAGACCGGAGGGCTGGGAGGTTGCCTGCTCTTAATGGGGTTACACTTCCTCTGGTACGTAGCTTGGTGGTACTTTTGGATCCCTTGCAACCACTTTGAGGCTCAGGCGGCCTCAGCGAAGAGGAGTGCCTTCCACCAGCTTTTATCTTAAACCATTGCGAACACAGTATAATAAAGTATAATAAATAAAGAGTTCCAGGAGGAGGAGTACCGGGAGGAATGGATGAAATTCAAAGACTATTTAGCTAAATATGCTAAGATAACTTAAACAGAAATACTTGCAAGTACCAGATTGGCTTAGGATTTAAATATGTGATCTTATAGAATAATACTTTTAAAGTTAATATGAAAAGAAAGAAAGATGTTATGCGACTAAGTAAATTTTATGAGAAATTAGTTTAGGAAATCCGTTACAATGATATACCGTACATTGAAACTCAGCCAGGAGGATTTGAGGAAGTCACCTAACAATGTTAATAATAGTGGAATAATTCCAGTTAGGATTTATGTGCGTTTGTTTATAAATTTGGAAAATCAATTAAAAAAATTGAAGGGAAAAAAGGTAAATAAAGATTCCGGTAATCAGGCGTTTCATCGTTACAGAGATTAGTCATCAAGCTGTCAAAAGCAATTATATCAGGAGGAGCATAGAAAGAGGACGGTGTCCTTCAATTTGTTAACCCCCCTTCAGAAACATGGGTAGGGCTCACAAATTTAAATACATTTCCTCCCTATGGAAACATACAGATGGGGACAGGTAAGTTTCCAGAGATTTTTTGTATTAGTGAGACTAAGGGTATTAACGATGTATGAGTGAATGGACTAGTTATTGTCTCGCCTTTATGCTTGTAGATATTCCCCTGCTTTAAGTTGTATACATACTGTCTTACCTTGTATATTATTTACTACATAGGTATGTCTTAATTATGCATTCTCAGTGTATTTTTAATTTTCCTTATTCTACTTGTTAATTCTGTGCAGTTCTGATACAATTGATTCTGACAGCTCGATGACTAAGCTCTTTAGTGACAAAACGTCTGATTACCGGAACACCGTCTGAGCACTGAACCACTGGTATAGCACAAGTGGACTCTTTATTACTGTGTTTGCAATTGTTCAAGATAAAATCTATTTTGGAAAGAGAAGAAATGAGCACTGAACCACTGATCTGATACAAATGAACTCTTTATTTACTGATAAAGATAAAATCTATTTGAGAAAGAAACTACTTTTGCCATTTTTATGGATGTTTATTGTTTGTTTACAGACAGTTGGAGATATTAGCTTGCGTCGACTGCAGTATTCATTGTATCGCCACCCTGTTGTTTTATTGTTCCATCAGTTTTGGCTGGTGGCCCAGCTGTGCCCCTATCTGGACAGGGATAGCCTAACTTCTGTCATCTATGCTCTGGTAACCTTTAGATTTGATTACTGTAATGCATTCTATGTGGGTCTGCCTCTTACAGTCCTTGTAGACATAGGCTTCAAAATGTGTGGTTCAGGTCTCAGAAAACTGAGCCACACTTCCGACGTCCAAAGTGCTTCATGTTGATGAGCAAAGACAGAATAATTACTCTACTTGGGACTTCAAATTCTGGCTTATTGGTGAATTTTTGTTTCTGCAGGCTTTGCATGCTGCTAGCCATAAGTGAGGAAAGATGGGGTGGTTTGACTAACTGACCCCAATGGTAGATTACACCCATATACTGACAAAGTCTATAGGACTACCCTGGAATATCCAATAAACCTCCCCACTCAGCCTTTAATGGAAATGGAAAGTATCTCTCCCACGACAAAAATCAAAATTTTATCAGGACAAAAATCTAGAAACTGGAAACTACAGGGAAGCAGATTTCAGCTAAGTGTTAGGAGGGATTTCCTAATGGCAAGAGCTGTTCAACAGTGGAAATGCTGGGCTCTCTCCTTCACTGGAGGCATTTAAGCATTTGTCAGGGGTGTTGTAATTGCATATTCTGCACTGAAGAGTGGGTCAGACTAGATAGCCACCGAGGTCCCAGCCCACTCTACAATTATTTCATTCTGTGTGAACGCAATGCATCGAAATACGCCTCCAGCTATCAGTTTGTGCTGCGAGAATGAAAGGGGGGAAACACACCCATCTGCGGCAAATTGGCTGACGTTTGTTTAATGGAATCAAAGATACAAGAATGACAGGATGGCGAAAGAAATGCTGTGATGTGGTTTAAAACGTTGTGCGCACCCTTAAATGAACCCCACAGAAAACACCACCAGAAGAAGGAAAAGGTTGAGTTATGTTCGTGGAGGCAATATACTGGCTTATCTGATCCAAGCACAAACATATATACATGCTGTATTTATGAAAGAGATGAAGGAAACAGAATATATATTCTATGGATAGGCGTATGCAAGCTTTTGCGTTTCACAGAACCCTTCATCTGGAGGGGACTAAAGTTTTAAATATATTGAGCACGCCGGGTTGCGAGGGTAAAACATGCCACTAATCCAGGGTGTTAAACAACGGGCTGTGCACATGCCGCAATTCCAATCGAGTACAGAAGAACTGCGAAATGTGTTGCTGGATGCACAATTTAGCTCAAGCCTTTTTTTAAAAAAGAAGTTTCTAATACTTATGATTACAGAAGTATACAGGCAGTGCTCAATGACATAAGACATGATGGTGAATAAGATACCCAGTGGGCCAGGAGTACAACGGCAGCGCCCTGCCTAGCCCCTTTGATCCTCCCCACAACCAGCAGAGGCAAAGCAAATTAGGCAAAATAAGTGGCATTCACATCAATTAAGTTGCTCGCAGGATTCAGCTTTTCTCTGTGCAGAAGAATGTGGATTCCCCGGTGTGTGTGTTTTAGCGCAGAGAACCAACGGTCTAATAATGTCACCCCCTTTCCATTACACCCGATGAAGAACTCTGTGAAGCTGGGATGCTTGCACCCTCCTCCAACCAGAATGGCAACCAGAGTCTATGCTGATCTCCTGCGTTTAGGACAGCGGCCGCCAACCGGACGCTCCCCCATTAGCTGTAGCATGTATCCCAGCTCCGATCTCTCCGGAAGAAGTCGTCTGCTACGGAGACGGAAGGGGCATAGTCCCTGCAGTCCGTGTTTGCATAGGGGAAATATTCCGGTACTCTGAAAGCGTCCAAGTGCTGGGAGCCGCAAGACGTACAGCAGCAGGCAGAAGGGGCGTGGTTGTACTGTAACTGGGACTGCTGGTGATAGGGGCTTCCTTCTGACGATGGATACATGCAGCTCTTGACATCCAGAGGGGAAGGGGAGCTATAAGAGAGTGGGGTGAAAGGAGGAGGCTGCGGTGGAGAGTAGCTGTAATCAAATGAGCTGGAGGGGTCAGAGGAATCCGGGGATCCGGGACCCTACAGAGAAGGGAGAGGAGAGAGAAAAGGAGGCATCTAAGGGGAAAAGTCAATAATAATTAAGGCTCCAGGCTTCGTTTATTGATTCCCTTTAGAGTGGTACCTCGGGTTACATACGCTTCAGGTTACAGACGCTTCAGGTTACAGACTCCGCTAACTCAGAAACAGTACCTCGGGTTAAGAACTTTGCTTCAGGATGAGAACAATAATCGTGCTCCGGCGGCACGACAGCAGCAGGAGGCCCCATTAGCTAAAGTGGTGCTTCAGGTTAAGAACAGTTTCAGGTTAAGAACTGACCTCCGGAACGAATTAAGTACTTAACCCGAGGTACCACTATATATTCCACCTCTTCTCCAAGGGGCCCAAGGTGGCAAACACGGTTGTCCCCCTCTCCGTTTTATCTTCACAACAACCTTGTGAGGCTGGTTAGGCTGAGAGACAGTGACTGGCAAAAGTGAGGTTCACGGCTGAGTGGGGATTTGAACCCATGTCTCCCAAGCCCTGGTCGCACAATCTAACCCAGGGGTCAGCAAATGTTTTCAGCAAGGGGCTGGTCCACTGTCCCTCAGACCTTGTGGGGGGCGGATTATTTTTTTTCCGGGGGGGGGGGGAATGAACGAATTCCTATGCCCCACAAATAACCCAGAGATGCATTTTAAATAAAAGGACACGTTCTACTCATATGAAAACACCAGGCAGGCCCCACAAATAACCCAGAGATGCATTTTAAATAAAAGGTCACATTCTACTCATGTGAAAACACGCTGATTCCCGGACAGTCTGCGGGCCGGATTTAGAAGGTGATAGGGCTGGATCCAGCCTCCAGGCCTTAGTTTGCCTACCCATGATCTAACCACACTATCACACTGGCTTTCTTTAATTGCTTTAACAGAGGCCCCAGAGCAGGGCTCCATCAGAGCAGCTATGCTTCTCCCAAAGCTATTTACAGCTTTCGGTGATTTCTATCCTGCAGTTGTGCTCTTACTTTCCTGCTGTATGAATCCCCCAAGCATACGGGTACTTTGTATGAACCCCAACCCCATAAAAACTGAAGTGCAATTACCAGGCTTTGGTTGAGGTAGGGAGGGCCTAGTTGGAAGCTGTCGGGCGAGCAAGGCATGTTGCCCTGGGTAGTCCCCATAGTAGCATCCAAAGGTAGCTCAGTTTGAAGGCAGGAATCAACCAGCTGCTCCAAGTAACTGGGGATCTCCTCGCAGGCAGTGCAGTTTTGGAACTGCCAGGGTTGTACGCAGCCAGATGAAGAAGAGGCAAGTTCTGTGTCTACGTAAGGGGCTAAAAGAGGAAGGAGAGGAGAGAACAAGACAGTAGGACGCAAGGACAAACAGCTGTCATTTTAGTTACGTTACATCATTTAGATGATTTACTGTATTTTTTGCTCTTTAAGACTCACTTTTTCCCTCCTAAAAAGTAAGGGGAAATGTGTGTGTGTCTTATGGAGCGAATGCAGGCTGCGCAGCTATCACAGAGAAGCCAGAACAGCAAGAGGGACTGCTGCTTTCACTGCACAGCGATCCCTCTTGCTGTTCTGGCTTCTGAGATTCAGAATATATTTTTTCTTGTTTTTCTCCTCCAAAAGCTAGGTGCGTCTTGTGGTCTGGTGCGTCTTATAGAGTGAAAAATACGGTATATGCTCCCTTTTGCACAAGCCAAAGGGCAGCCGAAAACAAGCAAATAAGAAAAGGGAAAAAAATCCATAAAAATAACACAATTCTTGAAGAACGCATGACAAGTGTAAGGTTTGACACAAGGCAGGAAGAATCAGCTGCACAAATAGGAGAAGGGGGACACCAGGATTGTCAATATTACACGTGAAAAGGATATAGGGGTCTTAGCAGACCGCAAGCTTTATATGAGTCAACAATGCAATGCAGCAGTAGCAGAATAAAAAGCAAAAAGCTGATGCGATTCTAGGCTGCATCAACAGAAGTATAGTGCCCAGTTCAAAGGAAGTAATAGTACCGCTCTATTCTGCCTTGGTCAGAGCACACCTGGAGTACTGCGCCCAATTCTGGGCGCCACAATTTAAGGATTATTGACAAGCTGGAAGGTGCGCAGAGGAGGGCAACCAAGATCTTCAAGGGTCTGGAAACCACGTCCTATGAGGAACAGTTGAAGGACCTGGGTATATTTAGCCAGGTAAAGTAAGGTTACCAGACGTCCCCGTTTCCCAGGGACAGTCCCCAGATTTACAAATCAGTCCCCTGACAAAATCCTATCATTCCTACTGAAGTTGAAAAGTGGATTCATTGGGGGGGGGAGATCTGGTAGCCTTAAAGAGGAGACTGAGAGGAGATATGACAGCCATCTTCAAGGGCTGTCACGTGGAGGGTGGAGAAAACTTGCTTTCTCCTGCTCCGAACGAATGGATTCAATTTACAAGAAAGGACTAAATATCAGGAAGGACTTTCTGACAGTAAGAGTTCTTGCACAGCAGGAAGGAGCTGATGTAAGATGTGAAAAGATTAACCCCCCACCCCCTGCTCGATTAACAGGAAGAGAGAGAGAGAGAGAGAGAGAGGAAAGAAAGGGATAGGAGAGAAAGCAAGCCACTAAACTTGGTCCGTTAGTTCCTTTTGGGAACAGGATTGCTCTATAGGCCAGCACCAAACTGAGATGAAGAGGCTGCCAGGTGGGGCGAGGACATCCTTGCTGGCTTCCCCCTCTTTGTGTCCTCCTCTGCATTTAGCAAAGTTCTGATTGGCTAGGTTCCTAATTAAATACCAAGTTTAGGAAGTCTGGGAAAGAAGTGGGATGTGTTTTGGGAGAAGAGGGGAAAGGTGGGGGGGGAGAGGAAAAAAGGCACTCTCTTTTTGTACCAACCTGCACAGGGAGGGGAGAAAGACTCCGTGAACTGGACATTGTTGCCACTGCCTTCTCCGGAAACCTGAGAGCACAAGGAATAAAGCAAAGCACAGCTGGGTGGTTCTCCATTTATAAAGCAGAAGGAATTCCTTGCCTCCTTCCCTCCCCCCTTCCTTCATCCCCTTAACACGGTGGAGGTAAGTCCAGGCTTTCTCTCCAAGAGGAACACGCAGGGGGTTAGCAATGCAGGTTGATTCTGCTTTTATCCGTGTAAGTTGAAGTTGTGGCCATGTTGTAATAATAATTTATAATAATTTATTATTTATACCCCGCCCATCTGGCTGGGTTTCCCCAGCCACTCTGGGCGGCTTCCAACAAAACACTAAAATACAATAACCTAGTTAGATGTTAGTTAGTCGGTTACCTAACTCATAAGATGCATGCTCCCATATAAGAAACATGCAATTCCTGAAATCTGTTAAGAATGCACTATTTTGCCATGGGACAGGCTCTCAGCATTTATTTTTTTTAAATAACCTGCTATCAACATGCCTGTGTTTAGGGTGAAGCGCCACCGAGAGCAGGAAATATTTTTTAAAAGTTACTGGAAGGTCACCCCTATTTGCAAAGCATTCCCCCGCTGGAATTTACAGCCTTGCTTTGTTTGATCACAGTTAAACCCATAAAGGGCAGGCTCTGTAACAGCAGCTGTTCCAACTGAACTCCAGAAGTCTAGAGCCTAGACACAGAGTTCACCTAAAAAGGAATTCGAAGGCAGCTCAAAGCAAGTGGCATGGCTCTTCCACAAACAGAGAGGTTCTCCATAAGATGAACGAAATTTCCCCCCAAGGGGGGGGGGTGTTTCACAGTCCCTCCACTCATTGCCAGGTTTCGACTCAAGCAAAATCCGAAGGCAGTTTCAAACACCCAAAACTATGTGGAGGAAAGCCATCTGAGTCACAAAGAAAGCTAGTGAAATTTCTCAGATGAGATCTTGCATGTTACAAGAACCCTCTAGCCTCTGGTTTTAAATATTGGAGAGAGGTCCCTCTGAGATTGCTATTAATCTGTGTATTTACACTAAAAAATATTTAACTATTTATAATATTCCATTTCTGACACACAATGCATAGGACACTCCCGAGGCAGCAAATAAACATTTTAAAAAATAAAAAGCAAAAACAGGAATGTGAAATGGCAGCAAAGTCTCAGGAGAAATTGTCAGGAGAAATTGAGAAAAGCTTACATTCTTCCCTGCACGAGGAAGGATATGATATGAAATGACAGATGAGCAAATCTATCAATTTTGATTTCTCATTTTTCCACTCTTAAACACACATTTCCACATCAGCAAGCAGATTCTTTTTTAAAAAGAAGTCTGTGTGAAAATTGGTCTGCATTTTACTGCTAATTTCTTCTAAAAGACACATTTTTGCAAACAATTTCCTCTAACATAAAGCATTTTTGTATGCTCTTTTAACATAATATATGCATTTTTATGCACACTTTATCGCACACACATTACTCGATAGAAGAAATGCATTGCCAAATTTGGAGAAGTGCAAATTTCCAATGGTGATTCCGTGTTTCAGTTTGCATGTTCATGCCCCAATACATAAAATTTCTTTTGCTGTCTCTTCTCTCCCCTTCCCTTGCAGGCTGCCCGCAGGATCATCTAAACGGTTGCCTTGCTTGTGTTCTAAAACCTCCTGCTTAGATAAGAAAGCGACTGTTGTTTTCTTACAGCACAGCTAGAAAACTAAACTACATTCACAGATTTTTATGTCATCAGAAGACGTATCTTCACTAGGGTCATTTCAGTGCTGAAGGGATTGATTCTCTCTCTCACACACACACACATACTATCCAGATTGCCCAGTTTCTTAGACAAAGGGCAAATGTCTTTTCCAAAGAATAGCAACAGGTGGGTACTAGAGTTAATCTGTGAAGGTGGAAAACAGCCCTCCAGTGATGTGAACCCGGAAGCAGTATTTGGCTGGTTCTTTCTTTATGCAAATCACTAAAGCAACATAAGCCAGGGGAGCTCTTTGCACATAGTGCAATGTGCTGTGTGTGACTTCTTGATCACTCCTCCTCTCAAAGAGCAGTTAACAGTTTCCCACCTTCCTGCAATGGCAGAGGCAGGGACCCTGGGCTCAGCCGGTGCAGCCATTGATCAGGGATGATGAGCGGTGTAGTCCAATACCATCTGGAGGTCCTCAGGCCCCCCATTCCTGAGCTATAGGATGCTCTGTGTTACCATCAGCAGCATTTGAGCCCGATTAGCTACACCTTATGGGACGTGGGTGGTGCTGTGGTCTAAACCACAGAGCCTAGGACTTGCCAATCAGAAGGTCGGCGGTTTGAATCCCTGCCACCGAGTGAGCTCCCGTTGCTCGGTCCCTGCTCCTGCCAACCTAGCAGTTCGAAAGCACGTCAAAGTGCAAGTAGATAAATAGGTACCGCTCTGGCGGGAAGGTAAACGGCATTTCCGTGCGCTGCTCTGGTTTGCCAGAAGCGGCTTAGTCATGCTGGCCACATGACCCGGAAGCTGTATGCCGGCTCCCTCGGCCAATAAAGTGAGATGAGCGCCACAACCCCAGAGTCTTCTGCGACTGGACCTAATGGTCAGGGGGCCCTTTACCTTTTTCAGCTACACCTTAACTCTTAAGAGATTACTGTACTTAAGAGAATTTACTGCACCCAAGTAAATTCCTCTATCATATTAACAGATCTAAATGACCCACCTCCATTAATTTCAATGGATCTACTCCAAAGATGACAAATGTTGGAAACTCAAAAGTCTACGCACTCTTGCTTTGTAAATTTAACAAATGATAACACAGAAAACTGCATTATATAAGGTTAAACTATTTGCCTATCTAGCCCACTATTGCCCACTCTGACTGGCAGCACCTCTCCAGAGTTTCGGACACAAACCTTTTCACATCATCTGCTGCCTGATTCTTTTGGATAGCGATGCCAGGGATTGGAACCTGGCTCCTTCTGAATGTGAAGGTGTTGCAGCACTGAGCTATAGCCTCCCCACCCTACTCGCACTATTAGAAAATGGGAGTTGTAGCTTTTTAAAAAAGAGAGAGAGACCATGTAAGACTAGCCATGGTTTAAATTGCGAAACAGGGATGGGTGTAACTTGGAATCTTGCGTTGGCCTAACATCCAGAGTGGAGGCATCAGAGGGTGACAGAAACACCCAGGTCTCTGTGTCATAACCCTCCCTGATGCTTTGGAGCAGCAACTCAGCAGAAATTCAAGCACAGTCCCGAAAAATTCCACCTCCACAGTTTATGCATTGCAAAAGCTAACTTGTGGTACTACATCCAGACTGGTGTGTCTGGAGCAGTCCTTCAGCATTGAATTCACCCCCTCCTGCCTCTTTCTTCTGGACCAAAAACTTGCACTTTCTGCAACCCACCCACAGAAAGGGAAGATCCTCTGGTTGAGATGTTAAAGCCCAAGTTTTGCATGCAGAAGTCTCCCTGTATCTCCAGATACAGCTGCGAACCTGGAGGACCACTGCCATTTATTGTAGGCAGGGCTAAGTCAGATGGACTAATGGTCTCTGCATAATACAGCTTCCCATGTTCTTATGCTAAAATTAGCAGATTAGGCTTTCATTCTTATCATTTGTTAAATTTGCATGCCGCCCGTCCTCTGAAGATCACAGGGCAGTCCACAACATAAAAATACAAAAGGCGAACTCAAAAGGCGTAAGAAAACAAAAACAAACCAATAACCCTCCTCCCACAAACACATTTTAAAGGCCATAGAATGCTAATGTCAATTGAAGAGGAACTTTTTGCCTGGTGCCTAAAGGTGTCTAATGAAGGTACCAGGTGAGCCTCCCTGGGGAGAGAATTCCACAGACAGGGAGCCACCACAGAGAAGGCTGGTTCTCATGTTGCCACCCTCCAGACCTCTCATGGAGGAGGCACACAAAGAAGGTCCCCAGATGATGATTGCACTTTGACACTTGATTGGTCAGAAAATACTGGTCAAAAATGTCATGCATTAATTTATGAGAACAAAGAGGACACCTTATGGCTGGTTTACAGATAAATGTTCAATGCTTGAGGGGTGATTGGTAGTACAGTGGTACCTCAGGCTAAGTACTTAATTCGTTCCGGAGGTCTGTTCTTAACCTGAAACTGTTCTTAACCTGAAGCACCACTTTAGCTAATTGGGCCTCCTGCTGCCGCCGTGCTGCCGGAGCATGATTTCTGTTCTCATCCTGAAGCAAAGTTCTTAACCTGAGGTACTATTTCTGAGTTAGCGGAGTCTGTAACCTGAAGCATCTATAACCTGAAGCATATGTAACCTGAGGTACCACTGTTATGTATGAATGAACTACTGCAGGAAGACTTTCATACGGCTTTGCATCAGCTCCAGTACAATGTTTCTTCTATAGTCAGACCCAGTCTAAACGAGCAATAAACTGTTACTGGGCTGCACCACTTCAGATTGCAAGTGGAGGGTGACAATGGTGAATGCTCTTGCGTATATTTTAATCCTTGCAATAGAAAGCTAATATGCTAAGGAGAAGGGTTCTAAGCCCCACATTTCTTACTGACAAGCTAGTTTTCTACATGCAGGGTTTGGTGTTTGGTAGGAAAGGATTCAAATGCACCGCCCCTTCAATCTGAAGTGGTGCTATGTGGGAACAGCTGTTTCACGATCCCAGGTTCTAGTTCACACACGTTCAAGTGTTGCACAACCAAGTGGCATGGTGCAGGCCCCGTCACTAATTGAAAGGAAGAAAATAACAAGCTGTTTGATTATTATGATGATGCAATTGGCCACAACTGTGGGAAGAGGAGGAGGTGCTTACGGCTTCATCGGCCACAGCCTGCTTGGCTCTTCTCTGCTGCAGAAGCTCCTTCACTGTAATCTTGACTCGGACACCTTGATAGACCTTTGGTTTTCCTAAAAGAATCAATTTAACAATAGGATTTTATATTCTGAAAAGTAAAAAGTGAGTTTAGGGTTTACCAGCTCGGAGTCATTAATTGCTTAAGCAAGTGATTCCACACTTTAGGAATTAGGGGACTTGGGTTCTAATCCTGACCACGCTACCTTGAAATATTTCCTCCTTTAAAGGGTTTACTTACCTCTGGGTAGCAGGGAGCTGAAAGTCATGCTGAATTACAAAACAGGAAGTCAAAATAAACTTGTAAGGGGAAAAGCCTTAAAATGTGGTTTGAGCCTTTGCATGTTTCAATTGGATTTTTTACATCAGCTTGAGCACAACATAGCATTTATTCTTATTCTTATTACACTTTACATAGCACCCTTTATCAAAAGATCACAGGGTGGTGTACAACATTAGAAACACCTTGTGTATGTTTACATTTTAATGTTTGCATAATTGGTTTTTATACCTGCAATTTTAAGTTAGTGTAATTGGCTTTTATCATCAAACTACCTAGGCACCTACTTTGCCATTAAGCAATATATAAATAATAGCAATTTATTATGAATAATAATAATACTCTAAAGTAAATCCCACTTAGTTTGCAACGCTACTTTTGCACGTACTGTCTTGGCTGCAATTCCAACTCTACTTACCTGGGAGTAAGCTCCACTGACCTCATTGGGGCTTGCTTCTGAGTATACGTAGTTAGGACTGTACTGTTAAATGTTCACCATCATTCCCTTATACCAAAAACTGTATTTGTGTGAACATTTATCAGACTTTCATGGATAACATATAAATACTTTCGAAAGAGGGGGACAATGGCAGACTGTTGGATGAGTGGAATGATCGAAAGCATTTTTTTCAAAAAAGGAAAACATGATGTCAGTATATCTCTCTGAATATATTATTGATGGCCTTGCAACCATTCCTTAATTTGTAAACACTTCCTGATAGAACGCGTGTTGTCAAACATTTGTCAAATAAAGCTTCCCCCAACATGAGTTTAGAGTTTGATAAACCGATTAAGTCCAGATTATACTCAAGGAGGTCTCATTCCATTCTGCTCAATAAGTCTGAGGAATCTGCCCCTCCTACAACACACACTGCTCAGCATCTTTTTGTCATACCTGATGGCCCTGTCGTGACCCAGTATGAGTTCCCGTTCACATAACAGCAACTCAGTTTTGGGCACCCTCCCATTTGATTCTCACAGGGAGGGCAGTGGCAGAGAGAACACATTTCAGCACGACTGGAGAGACGCAAGTAGAATTTTGAGGCTGGAAGAGTATCCTAGAAGCTTATTGCAGAACTAATGGGGTGTCTCCAACAAAGTTCTACTCCGAGTGGGCCTCCTGAAATCAATAACCCTAAATGAGTTGCGCCATGTCCATTAATGTCAATCGGTTTACTTACAGTCTGAAAACCCGCCCCATCAAGTAAAACAATATAGGAATACGTAACTAATACATAACTAACATACCGGTAACTAACTGACCAATCATGTTGGTTCTGCCCCTCCCCCCACAACAAAAGTCCTGCCCCCCCTAACAAAAATCCTGGCTGCAACCATGGGCTACACCCCAATATTTCGCACCATATTTTATCTTATTGTAACCAAGAGCCTTGTTTATGCTGTGATCCAAGGCTTCATGGGCACATCTATTTAATTCTGCATTCATAATAATTTGTGCTCATGATGGGGCAGTTATGCGCAATCCTGCTTTCAGGGCGCACTGCTTCATTCAGATCGGTGCATATCACATTGCTTCTTGTGGTTCTTCCCCCAAGTGGAATGACGTGCAGACAGCCCAGTATAAATCCACCACTAATACGCTATCTGTTTCTATTGCTACTTTAAACTAATATTTATATCATTTTATGTGAACTGCTCAAGAGATTTTTTTTAAAAAAAAATTAAGCAGTGTATTTGTCTTGATAAATAAATAAATACCAACAGTCATTAAACAACAAAGTACAGCTGGTCATTAAATAGCAGGAAGTGAGCGCTGCACAATTATACAGATACAACTAGCACTCGTCCCGGGAGTAGACAGTTGTCATTAATGGTGCAATCCTGTGCGGGATTACCTTGGAGTCAGCCCCATTGAAAGAAGTGAGACCTACTTCCGAGCAGACATGCATAGGTAAAGGTAAAGGTAAAGGGACCCCTGACCATTAGGTCCAGTCATGGCCGACTCTGGGGTTGTGGCACTCATCTCGCTTTATTGGCCGAGGGAGCCGGCGTACAGCTTCCGGGTCATGAGACCAGCATAACTAAGCCACTTTGGCAAACCAGAGCAGCGCTCGGAAATGCTGTTTACCTTCCCGCTGGAGCGGTACCTATTTATCTACTTGCACTTTGACATGCTTTTGAACTGCTAGGTTGGCAGGAGCAGGGACCGAGCAACGGGAGCTCACCCCGCCGTGGGGATTTGAACCGCCAACCTTCTGATCAGCAAGTCCTAGGCTCTACAGCGCCACCTGCATCCCTAGCAGACATGCATAGAATGATAGAATCCTGGAGTCCTGGAAGGGACAAAAAGAGTTATCTACTGCAACAGCCTGCAATGCAAGAATCTTAAGAGTAGCGTGCTCTATTGACTGAGCTACCCCAGTTGCATGTGCTTATGCTGCCTGGCTGTGAATTCCTTGCAACCGGGGTGTCCCTAATTCAAACCTCACCTTTGCCATAGTTCCACCTGCTTACTCTAGCTCACGCTTAGAGGCTGTGTAAGCACATCGAAAGCACACACCAAGATCCCTGGGAGCCCCTCAGAGAGATACCCTTAACAATCTACAGTTCCCAGGATTCTTGGGCGGTGGGAGATGTGCTTTAAATGTACAGTGTGTACACAGCGTTAGTCTCAGTCTTTCTCACTCCCATCCACGGGGTGGGAAGAATGATACCAGTCTACATTACAGGGCTGTTATGAAGCTTGCCTAGGAGAGCAAATGTGAAGGTCTTCCACAACGCTCAAAATGTGCTGTGCATGTGCTACGTATTAAACAGCCAAACAAGTGATACCTGTCCTGAGAAAACAAAAGCATCAAGTTTCAGCCAACAACGTTCAGTGCTGCAGCTACATAATGTCAGAGTCTTGATTTAATGTTCTTAACTGGGCAGGGCAGTTTGCAGGGAACGGAGGGGTCCTTAGGTAGCAATGTGTTACAGACTGATTTCCAGGGATGGTCAGTGAGCCCCCGATTTTTATTTTTATTTTGCGGTGGGGGGGCACCTGCTCATTCTGCTTAGGGGACCACAGGCATCTGCCCAGTGCCCTGCCCTGACAACCACCACTGACGACTCCTAGAATGAGTTTGCCAGATGAGAAGCTGCAACAATTTTATTCCCCTGCAGAGGTTTGGGAAACAGAGCAGGGGGAGAAACCTGGGTACAATTCTTGTGCATCTGGCACCATCTGAGACCATGCCATTCCGCTGCAAAATGGCTAAATGTATATAATCAGCAGCATTTTTTAATTTTTATTTTCAGGAAGGTATCTTGTGCCAGGGGAAAAGGAAAACGAGAGGCCTTTCTTTTACTGGAACTCACTACTATTTTCAGTGCTAGCTGGCCTTATTGGGTGGAAGTACCACCCCCCACGCCCCCCAAAAAAACCCCAGACTGAGTTGCTTCAAGATTCTGTGCAGCCTTGCTTACACTGAATGCAGTCATGATGCGGGAGTAGGAATGTTGCCATCAGGCTAGGATTTTAGGGAATTTGCACACACACACACACACACACACACACACACACACAGAGCAAGGTTGCTTTACCACATTTTGGTGTAGTACCGTATTCACTCGAATCTAATGCTCACCTTTTTTGGCCAAATTACATTGCGAAAATTAAGGTGCATATTAGATTCGACAGCACATTTACATTCGCCAGCAAATACCTTTTTTGGCTTCAAAGGTTCTGAAAATTTAGGTGTGCATTACATGCGATGGTGCAGTAAGACTCGAGTAAATTTATACCTTTTATCTAAAGAGGTGGGCCCCTGTGTAAGTCCAAAGTACAGTATAAAATTACCCAGCTGCACCACGGAGCAGTAGTAATTTGGTTATGGCGACATTTATATCCCACCTTTCCTCTGAGCTCAAAAAGTACACACTTCTTCTCCCCTTCTCCATTTTAGCTTCACAACAACCACCACCCTGCGAGTTTGTAAACTCAGTGGGCTTCATGGTGGAGAGGGGATTTCAACCCTGGTGTCCTAGCCCCCACTCTTACGCCGGTGGTACCCACCCCACAACCACTGGGCGTGACGCCCCTTTCTGAAAAACCAAAAACTTTGGCTTCTAGAAGATTGGCCGGCTCAAAGTGTTGCAAACATGCAGAATGGAATTCCGGAATCAAGGGTCACTGTCTAAAAGAGGGGTGAAGAACCTGTGCCCATCCAAATTCTCTGGGGCCTCCAATGTACATCACCCCTTACCATTGGCCCTGCTGCTGAGACCAGCAATACCCAGAAGCCAGTGTGGTATTCAGTAGTTGTTGGTGTGTTGGACTTGGACCAGGGAGCCCTGGGTTCAAATCCTTGTTCAGCCATGAAGTTCACCTTGGGCTAGTCGCTGCTTCTTAGCTTAGGGTTGCTGTGGGGGTTAAAGGAGGAGGCGGAGAATCGTGCCTGCCACCTGGCGCTACCAGGAAAGTGGGTTGGATATAAATGCAATCAGTAAATAAGTTCATCCCTTGTTTTTTAAAAAGCCATCCAGATGGGTATGCAAGGTGCTTTTGAGCAGCTGCAACTTAGAGCATTGCATGGGGCTAGGGGAGACTCTCTGCCTGCAGCCTTGGAAAGCTGCTGCCTGCCAGTGTCTAGACAACAGCACACAAGACGGGCCAATTGGTCTGACTGAATATAAGGCAGCTTCCTTTCTTCCTATTGTGGGCTGGATTCAATGCTAGAGCTGACCCACTGGAATCAATGAACCTAAGTATGTCAGGTCCAATAACGGCAATGGGTCTACTCTTAAGACCAGCACTGGGTACAACCCTGTGTAATTCTTTGCAAACCAACTCTGTAAATTGTAGTGGGCCTCTAAACTCAGCGGTAAGTATGGATGAAATGGGTTCTTCTGCCCAACTTTATGTTTTCCCGCTACTCCATATCTGCCACCCACCAACCACCTACACTAGAGCCGATTCCCACGAGGGAGAGGAACAACTGGTGTCTGGCCAGCTCCCTGAACTGTCCCTTTTGCACAAGGCGCGCCTAGGTCACAAATGCGTTTATCCCCAATCCGGTTTAAATGTCAGGGCTTGCGGGGCCGCCTGGGAAGGGTAGTTTTGCAGGAAAAGCGTATTCACTCTCCGCAGCTCAGAATCCTGCCATTTCATGTCTCTGGGTGGTGCAAACATCTCGCCCAAGAACCCTTGCTTTCGTGAGTAAATCCCGCGTTTGCTTTGGGAGGGTGTGTGTGAGAGAGCTTTGCAGAGGCATCTGAGGACTAGGAAGTGGGGGGGGGGGAGAAGAAAGCGGTGAAATTTGGAGAGGGGGGCTCTGATCCCTCCCCGCTCCTCAAAAATAAGAAAAAGAAGAGCAGGGGGGACAGACGGGGAGCGGGCTGCTGCAAGCCGTTTGCAAACCGATTCCACGGCACGCCGAGTTCGACGGGGCTTACTCCGGAGTAAGCGCGCCACGGATCGGAGCCCTGTGCTAGGCTGGCTGCGCCGGAGGGAGCCTGGTCGGGGCTTTCCTCGTAAGCGCCGTGAGTAACTGCGGGCCGCCGCGCTCCGTTCCACGCCTGCCTCCTGTCCGCGCCGCCGGCCAACAGGCCCCTGCTCCGAGGCCTGCACGACCCGCACGTGGGAACGGGAAAGCGGGTGGGGGCAGGCCGGATCCGCTCCAAGGAATCTCGCTGCGGGTGGCTCCCGAGGTCGGGTTAGGAGGGACCGCAGCCCTCTTGCTCGGGAGTAAAGGTGCCGCGCCATCTCCAGCCAGGCTCCTTGCCAAAGCGGCGGGCGATTCCTCGCCTGCCAAGCTGCCCTTACTTACCTGGAAAGAAGGAAGCGCCGTGGAGCACGGCGGGGGTGGGGCTTACTTCCGAGTAAAACGTGGCCCGGATCCGGCTTCGGGACTCCGAAGTCAACGTGCACAGCAATTGCAAACTCTATACACGGTTTTTGATCGCTTGCATTTATTCCCCCCCCCCCGCCAAAAATAACAATTGCAACCTTGTGCACGTTGGCTCCGGAGAAAGAGCCGTCGCAATCCAGGGGACTCGCGTGCAGCGCGATCCTATGTCTGTTTACTCGGAAGTATCCGGCTTCTCTTCCCAACCGACAATCTCCCTGCCCCTACTTTACACCCCACCCGCAAGAGACCCACCTGAGATACCCATTTCCTTCCACCTCGCATATCTGCCTGCCTCCCCAAGCCGTGCACGGAAAGCGTATATTGCGCGTGGGAAGAATGGAAAGCGATCGCGCGTGGGGAGCGCAGCGGGGTATTTTTTTTCCCCGCGTGGATTTTCTTGCGCAGCAGCGCCGCCGCTGGACTCAAAAGGAATAGCACGGGGGACCTTTGGGACAAGCGACCCTTATTGAGCGCCGCACTCCATTAAAAAAAAAAGGAGCATCTCCCCCCCCCAACCACCGCACCCCACCCTACTGTATTAGGGGTGCACTCATTTAGCCTCTCCTCTTCCTCCCGGGAAGTGGGGAGAGCCAGGTGGCTGGCTAAGCCCCGCTGTCGTGGTGGGTGGGCTCTGATCGTCCCCTGAATATTAAAATCCACAACTAATCACCTGGCAAGTTACGTGGCTGAAGTCTTAAATTGCACCCCGGGGATGGAGGGGGAGAAATGTTTGTAATTTGGAGATCCGTAGCCCCTGGTTGCCTGGGCAGAGAGGCTGGCTTTGGAGGTGAAAATTCCACATAAGCAATATGTGTTTTAAATATATACTTATACATATACATATATATATTTAAATGCTGCCTTTCACAGTGAAGTTTGGAGCAGCTGCACTCCAGAACATTCCCAGCTGAGACGCTTCTTTTTCCTGTAGCCCTGTAGCTCTGATGTGTTGTCTGCGCCTGTGCATATATATTTATATATTTATTATGTATATGAGTTTGCATCTGGTTAGATTTAACTTGCATGCACTTAAAGAAACATTGATTTCACTGCATTTTGGAGCCACTGGTGCCCTCCTGTTCTTAACTCTCCCCACCCTTTCCTCTTCCACCCTGTTTTATTTGAAAGCAAACTCTCCCAACAAACTACACGGGTGAGAATTAATCCACCCTCCCCACCAAAACCCCACAAAGAGAGAGAATGAAATCAAACTTACCTGACATTTTCCAGGGCAAGAAGAAGAAGAAAAAGTCTTTATTCTGGGTTGTGTTTTTTCCCCCTTTACACCCAGGGATCTTCTGTGGACAAAAAAAGGGATCCTCAGCTGGGCTTCCTAATTCAAGAGGAAAACAGAGAAGAAAACAAGGTTTTTTCAGTTAAAAAATCATTCCAAACCCTTTGTGGAGATCTCGAGTGGGAGACAAACAATATTAATGTTTTATACCTACAGATATAAGTTTGAATTTTTCTCCCCGCAAGCCAAGTATTTAAAACCTCAAGAATCCAATGATTTGACAATCAATGATTGCGCGATAGTTTCAATTTGAATATTCAAAGGCTCCACAAAATGGCCTACCTTTGAGTGAAAAGGAGCATCTCCCCACATAGCAGAGGGTCTGAGGGAATAAAATCCATCACTGCTGCCTCCCTGGGACCCCTGCTTGGGGGACATCGCCCACCTTTTACCATTCTTGCCACAAACAACCCATATATCCCTGGGGATGGGTGGTATTTTCACGGGAGAGGAAGGCAGGCTCTCCTGCGGACCTCTAATGTCCCCTGCCAGCTGTCAGGGGGGCTCCTGCAACAGGTGGGGGGCCGTGGGGTTCGGGGTGTGCTTTGGGGGGCCACATGTGAGATTTCCGGGAGCGAATATGGCCCTCGGGGGGCGTGGCAGGGCCAGGAAAGGCTGTCGAGGCCTGCAAGGAATGCTTGCGGATGGCAACAGAGCTACAGTCACTTCCACTGGCATTTCCTATTCGTGTTCCCCATTGCATGTGGCTCCCCCACCCCACCAAAGTTTTGTTTCACGTAGACAGATGTGTCCCTCCCTCGCAATACAGCTGTTCTGGTTTGCATTCTGGGAAAGAAATGCATTGGGATCGCTGCCCACCCCCACGCCCGGCCCCAGTTCTCTTGCAGCGGCACTGGGTGTTGTGAGATAATGTTGCCCTTGGATGAAATTTCCCAAAAATTTCACATTGCATTTTCATAATCCTGCCCCCCCCCTTTCACGGGCTAGCAGAAGGGCTCAGGCAGGGACAGCTGGGTCAACCAGCGTGTAGGCGAAGCTGTTAATCATCTACCCTGGTTATAATTTGGCCATTGTTCCAGTTCATTTTTTTTTATTACAAAAGTTCAACAAATATAACTTGATTTGAGTTAGGGAGTGGTATGGGTTTAGAAATACTTCTTTTCTACTGGCTTTTCATCACTCCATAGCCTCTGGCACATGTAACCTGTAATCCTTTTTTTAAAAAAAACAACACATATATATGCACATATATACATATATTGCATATATACATATATATGCAAATCTCCATAAAAGTACGCTAGAGGGGATGAAAAGACTTCTGAGAGATGCAGGAAAAATCCCTGGATATCTGTTCAAGAGGAGGTGGCTTGTGTTTCCCTCCCCAAAAAGGCATATCGATAGTGATAAAAACACTTTGCTCGCAAGAGGCAGAAATTGCATATTTATTTCACAAGATTTATATACTGCTTGATCACAGTAAAACCTGAAAGTGGTTTACAAAGAGAACAAAACAACTAAATTACCAGGTTGTTGTTTTTTAAAGTTAAAAGCGACAATTAAGAACGTTCAGAACATTTGCTTGGGGTGGAGGACTTGACTGAGAAGCTGCCTCGTCTTCTGAAGCGAGCATTTATTAAACAGACACTTTTGGATTACTGCTCAATCATGAACACATCGCTGACCCATGGCAACAGCTAGTGTGTTAATTTTTAACGGAAAGGATGCCAGATCTCAAGACAACTGCCCAGAAGCCTTGCTTCTCGATTCCAGATGTGCCGAGAGTAGGCTGTGATTGCTCTGGGGAGAGAGGCATTCTGCACGTGCTCAGGGACACCCTTGTTGCTGTTACTTGGATTCTTCCAGGGCTGCATTCTGCCATCTAAGGCAGAACACAGACCCATATTAAGGTCTGATAGCAATACTGTTAACCTTCTGTGCCAAAACTTGGGTACTCTGAACTCTTGGATTTTTAAACAAAGGAATAACATTTGAAAGAAAGAAAAAAGAGAAAACAAAAGGAGCTTGAGTTCTGTCAAAGGAAGCGAGTGTTTTGTTTGGATCACGACAGATCTGTCTAATGTTAAAAGAAGCGGAGACTTCTTTCTTCCCCTCCTCTCATAAATCACCTGTTTAAACTGGGTAGCTGCGAGTTGAGTTGATTGGTCTATATATGGGATATGCTGTGCTTTCTCTTGTTGATTTAATATTCATAGTCATTTTTTTCAAACCGCTTCTTTTTACATTGGGGAAATTAAAAATTCCAACCGGGGTACCATGACGCTGCCTTGATGCATGTATTCCAAATTCATATTTTCAAAAAGTTCAACGCTTGACAGGTAGAGGGAGATGGGGAAAATATAGCTGAATTTTTGTTTAAGTAAAAGGTGTGGCAGATTACTTGGGACAGTTTTCTGAGTTTGAATGCTAATTAATTTATGGGCTTCAGAGATGAGAAACGAAACCAACCCACTGGGATGGGTTGAAACACAGATATGTTTTGATCTCCAGTTTTAGAAACATAATCGAATAACTCGCGAGATGATGCAGAGGCCTTAAGAGCTCTAGCTCGAACATTAATTTGGCCATTGATGCTACAATTTAGAATCTACATGGTAGCCTCTAACGCAGGAATCAACTGAAGACAAAGCGGTAGCTGTGAATGGACTGGACACAACCATTAAAAAAAAACCAGCCACATAAAGCGCCATTTTCTGAGTTGGCCATATTCTAAGGTTGCTTCTAGATGACCTGGTTATTGAGCATTCAACACGATTCGTTTGCACAGAGCTTGGGGGGAGGTTAGATAATGGCCACATCCATTTATACTGTCATGGCTTCCCCCCAAAGAATTCTGGGAGCTGTCATTTCTTAAGGGTGCTGAGAGATGCTAGGAGGCCCCTATTCCTCTCACACAGCTACAATCTCCAGAGCTTCTGAAGAGAGATCGGTTGCTAAACCACTGAGAATTGTAGCTTTGTGAGGGAGAAAGGGGTCTCTTAACAATTCTCAGCAAATTTTGAAGGATGTCTATGTTTCAGTTCACTTTTGGAAGGTGCAAATTAGGTGGGTTTGCCTTTAAAGGCAAACTGAATTGAATTTCTCCTCCACCCCTCACCTCAACATGTCATTTTAAAAAAAGTTGTGGTTTTTTTTATATATAAACCACTTTTACGTGATAAAAATATCTCAGTGTAAAATGAGCACTTACCAGAGAGTAAGGGCCTCTGAAGTTCTGTCAAGCATTGGAGTAAACATGAGTAAGACTGTATTTCAGAGAAATAAACTCTAGTTTTTAACCCCAATATGCATTTGGGGAATTACATTTATTTCTTATTTTTTGTATTATGTGAATCTTGTCTCTTTTCCTTCTCTCCCCCTTATCCTCTTTAATTAAAAACAAAAACAAAAGGGAAAAGCTGTGGTCGCTGCTAATCCCAGAGTGAGGGTGGGGTGTGGACAGCCCAGTTCTGGCTTGTGCCCAGACTGAGACCAGCTTTGATGTGGCTGAAATGAAAAATGACATTCTGCAAGTATCTCAAACCATTTGCAATAAAATAAGCGAGGACACTCTGTGGAAACTTGAGTTGAAGCTGGCCACGTTAATTCATCATCATTGCAGCCCCATGCTACCTGGACAAACAGCTTCCTATTAGTCTGTTCATGGGGCAAGTGCATTTGGAGGTTGTCGTGGCAATGCTGTATTGCCGGAGTTTTATCCATTTACAAAGCACAGTTTTATCGAGGGATGGGGAACCTGCAGCCATCCAGATGTTGTTGGGTGCCAGCTTTCATCAGCCTCAGCCAGCATGGCCAATGGTCAGGGATGATGAGAGCTAAGAGTCCAACAACATCTGGTGGGGCCAAAGGTTCCCATCCTCCCTATTTTAAAACAGTCCTTGGAGGTAGGCTAGGCTGGTAGATTTATCTGTGGTAAATCCATTTTGAGGGTAGGAATCACATCAAGGAGGTACCTGACAACAGGCCCAAGGTCACCCATGAAGTTTCATGGCTGAGTGTAAATTCGAACCCAGCTCCCTGGTCCTGGCCTGATGCTCCAACTGCTGTCTGGTGTCAGTTAAGGATCCAGGTGGTCCAGTCCTGACACTCAGATCCTGCACTGTTAGTCTACAATCCTATGCATCTTTTTTGGGGGGGGAGGACTAAGTTCCACTGAATGCGTCAGGGCATACTTCCAATCCTGCAAGTGCAAAAATCACCCCTCAAATTCTCCACTGGCTCAGTATTTGCTTGGGGGAATCTGGTTATGAATTGCAAAATGCAGCACTGTTTAGCATTAAAAGATCAGGGAAGCAGTACATAAACAACAAGATGCAGAATATGAAAATGGTACTGTGATTGAGCTGAAGAACATATGCATCAATACCAAAACAATTAAACAACAGGGTAAATGTCATGGGACGCGGGTGGCGCTGTGGGTAAAAGCCTCAGTGCCTAGGGCTTTTCGATCGAAAGGTCAGCGGTTCGAATCCCCGCGGCGGGGTGCGCTCCCGTTGTTCGGTCCCAGCGCCTGCCAACCTAGCAGTTCGAAAGCACCCCCGGGTGCAAGTAGATAAATAGGGACCGCTTACTAGCGGGAAGGTAAACGGCGTTTCCGTGTGCGGCTCTGGCTCGCCAGAGCAGCGATGTCACGCTGGCCACATGACCCGGAAGTGTCTCCGGACAGCGCTGGCCCCCGGCCTCTTGAGTGAGATGGGCGCACAACCCTAGAGTCTGTCAAGACTGGCCCGTACGGGCAGGGGTACCTTTACCTTTACCTTTAAATGTCTGTCAGAAGATGGGATACCAGTTGAAAGACCATCTCAACTCATTAGTCTTGTTTAATCCCATCCAGTTGAATTAGCATCCTTGAGAAGATTGATAACACCACACTCCTGACGAAATGCATCCTTTACTGGCTGATGAAAGTTTTTTTGGGCTGTTTTGTCACTGGAAGATTGTAGGTGTCGTTCCCCAGCAAGGGGAGTCCTCATCAGAGGAGGCCCAGAACGCCCTGGCCTTACAGCACTCCGTGGCTCAGGCTCCATCTTGGGGAAGGAGCCAGAATTCTG